ATGTCCTAAACAAAGGTAGTAGAACTTGAAGTAGTTTTACAGATAAAAGATGAAAGTTTCACATTCTTTGACTTTAAAGAAGAGGTCAGAGGTCAAATGTGATGATATTTTAAATCTTTACACAACGCTCTCTATATGTTTACAGTACACAACACACTTGTAAGAATCATAGTTTCTAAGTTATGTGGCTTTTTATTGATTTTCAACAAATAAATTATTAAGCAGAAACTGAAGATGTAAGACAAATGTTTTTTGGTAGTTCGGTTAAGCTAGGTGAGTCTAGGTGATTTTTTTTTAGTTAATATATTCTCAGATTTTCATATATTACAGGTTGTCTTGTAGTGTCAGTACTGTATCTGTATTGTTGTACTGTGATAGTAGCATTATCGTGGGAAAAGTATTGTTAGTTGCACCGGCGCCCAACCCTAAACCGCATCAGTGTTAACAGTAAAACATTTAAGGGACAAATCCACAGATTGATTTGTCATCTGAGATAAAGTGGATTTGCCCATCACTGTAAATGTCTCATCTTTTTCATGTACCAGGTCGCTATGCCATGCAGGCCATGAAGCAGATGGAACCCCAGATGAAACAGGCCCTTCAGAGCTTCCCTAAAACTGTAAGAAGGAACCCGTGTTTGCTGTGATAACTCTGCCAGTTCGATGTGCAGAAAACACAGACACATGTTGGTCTTTGCATTCAGTCTGCATTTCGTTTTCTCTTTCCTAACTCGTAACCTCGACTGCACACATTGTTTCAGGCATTTGGAGGAGGCTACTATAGAGGTGGATTTGAACCAAAGATGACAAAGAGAGAAGCTGCTCTGGTTTTAGGTGTCAGGTATGTGGATGCTGATCAGCACTCAGCACTCAGCACTGATTCTTAGTCTATCTGTGATGTTACAATACTTCCAGGTTCAGAGAGGTTTGGTCTTGTGCTGCACGGCTACCTTGTTGTGTTGTTTGTAGTCTCTCCACTACAGCAGCACATTTAACAACCACCACTAATCACTCATAATAACTCACTGTTACATACATTTACTGTTGCACCACTATTCTGTCTTCAGTCCCACAGCCAACAAGAATAAGATCAGAGAAGCTCATAGAAAACTGATGATCCTGAACCATCCAGATAGAGGTAAGAGAAAGCTTAGTGCTTATTCAAAGACCGACTATTTTTCTGATGAGTCTGTTATCTAGTGAAAATAAAAAATAAACAAAATACCACTAAAATACTATGAACAAAGTTCAGTATAATCAGAGTATCTTTCCATTATCTGGCTTCACTTGCCTTTGCCTATAACGGTGGTCAACTTTATAAGTCAAGCAGGGACTTCCCAGTGTAGCTGTCAGCAAATTTGGATAAAAATGGCTGCGTTGAAGCACCAGAACAATCAGAGACATGTATACTGAAAGCAGAGCAACAGAATTTTTACAAAAGAATAAGCATAAAAAGTTCATTCAGACATAGTCCTGCCAAATGTACAAATATGATACAAGGTCCACAAAGTCCAGAGAGGTGTTCAGCTTTAGGATTATATATCAAGGTGTATAAAACAATAAAATAGTTTCAAACTTGTTTGCAGTCAACAAAAAAATAAAATCAAGGAATAAAGTTCTTCTCAGACTTTAAAAGCTTTCAACCCTCCTGGTATTTGTGCACACAAGTCTGAGGCATCACTGCAGAAGAACCGACACAGCTCTGTTCTGGAAAACACTGCACTGGCTCGAGAACCTTCATAAAAATCGGTGACCACGTTTCACAATTGCACTTTATTTACAATGAAAAGCTGATCATGCAAAAAAAAAATCAAGCAGCTGGAGACTCGCTTATTCAGACTGGCTTTTAACTAGTTTTAGGCTGTATGATGTCATATGTATGCTGTTTTATCGTTTTGTCTTCTGTGTTTTTATATGCCTGTTTTTATTGTTTTTATTTACCCACTTTGTGGGTTTTGACCTGTGAAAGGTGCTGTATAAATAAAGTTTACATAACATTTAACTTCAGAATGTAGTCCTGAGCTGTTACGCATGAGTGGCAAGTCTGTTAACAGGTCTTAGGTGTATTGTCAACATCCTGCATAGTAAAAGGAACTGTTTTGTTGTTCAACGTGAAGTGTGATTATGTGTGTGTGTGTGTTTGTGTGTGTGTGTGTATGTGTGTGTGTGTGTTGCAGGTGGATCTCCCTACTTAGCAGCAAAGATAAACGAAGCAAAGGATCTGATGGACGGGCAGGCCAAGAAATAAAAGTGGAGATGCTTATTCATGCACTGACTGACTTGAAAGTTTTTCTAACTGATTGTTCTAAAAATAAAATCACGCTGTACAAGTGCAGACCAGAATCCTGCCATTATTACTGCTCAGTTTATATTGACTTTGTGAAATTCTATAAAGAGGTTTCCATTTGACAGAACTTCAAATTGTTGTTTTGCGTTTTTTAAGATCACACATGAAGTGTGTTTCTTAGTCCAACCTACAGATGTCTCATAAGCAGTTGCTAAACTTAATGGAGTCATTGAGTATTATGCATTTTGTGAGAGAACAAAGACAGTTTTTCTACTTGTGATTTTACTAGATACATTTGGACATGTGAATATTATGTTGCATGTCTTTTTTTAGCGACAGCACGCTGTTGTTAATGTGGTAAAATGTTAGTTGGTTTGAACACTTTAGCATTAGCAGAAACTTAAAAAATGTTCCTGTGCTTACTGAAATTACACTTACAGTGGGGCAAAAAAGTATTTAGTCAGCCACTGATTGTGCAAGTTCCCCCACTTAAAATGATGACAGAGGTCAGTAATTTGCACCAGAGGTACACTTCAACTGTGAGAGACAGAATGTGAAAAAAAAATCCATGAATCCACATGGTAGGATTTGTAAAGAATTTATTCGTAAATCAGGGTGGAAAATAAGTATTTGGTCACCTCAAACAAGGAAAATCTCTGGCTCTCACAGACCTGTAACGTCTTCTGTAAGAAGCTTTTCTGTCCCCCACTCGTTACCTGTATGAATGGCACCTGTTTGAACTCATCATCTGTATAAAAGACACCTGTCCACAGCCTCAAACAGTCAGACTCCAAACTCCGCCATGGCCAAAACCAAAGAGCTTTCGAAGGACACCAGGAAAAGTATTGTAGACCTGCACCAGACTGGGAAGAGTGAATCTACAATAGGCAAGCAGCTTGGTGTGAAAAAATCAACTGTGGGAGCAATCATCAGAAAATGGAAGACATACAAGACCACTGATAATCTCCCTCGATCTGGGGCTCCACGCAAGATCTCATCCCGTGGGGTCAAAATGATCATGAGAACGGTGAGCAAAGATCCCAGAACCACACGGGGGGACCTAGTGAATGACCTGCAGAGAGCTGGGACCAAAGTAACAAAGGTCACCATCAGTAACACACTACAACGGCAGGGAATCAAATCCCGCAGTGCCAGACGTGTTCCGCTGCTGAAGCCAGTGCATGTCCAGGCCCGTCTGAAGTTTGCCAGAGAGCACATGGATGATACAGCAGAGGATTGGGAGAATGTCATGTGGTCAGATGAAACCAAAGTAGAACTTTTTGGTATAAACTCAACTCGTCGTGTTTGGAGGAAGAAGAATACTGAGTTGCATCCCAAGAACACCATACCTACTGTGAAGCATGGGGGTGGAAACATCATGCTATGGGGCTGTTTTTCTGCCAAGGGGACAGGACGACTGATCCGTGTTAAGGACAGAATGAATGGGGCCATGTATCGTGAGATTTTGAGCCAAAACCTCCTTCCATCAGTGAGAACTTTGAAGATGAAACGAGGCTGGGTCTTCCAACATGACAATGATCCAAAACACACCGCCCGGGCAACAAAGGAGTGGCTACGTAAGAAGCATTTGAAAGTCCTGGAGTGGCCTAGCCAGTCTCCAGACCTCAACCCCATAGAAAATCTGTGGCGGGAGTTGAAAGTCCGTGTTGCTCGGCGACAGCCCCAAAACATCACTGCTCTCGAGAAGATCTGCATGGAGGAATGGGCCAAAATACCAGCTACTGTGTGTGCAAACCTGGTAAAGACCTATAGTAAACATTTGACCTCTGTTATTGCCAACAAAGGTTATGTTACAAAGTATTGAGTTGTATTTTTGTTATTGACCAAATACCAAATACACCCTGATTTACGAATAAATTCTTTACAAATCCTACCATGTGGATTCATGGATTTTTTTTTCACATTCTGTCTCTCACAGTTGAAGTGTACCTCTGGTGCAAATTACTGACCTCTGTCATCATTTTAAGTGGGGGAACTTGCACAATCGGTGGCTGACTAAATACTTTTTTTCCCCACTGTATGTGATGTTCCAATGTAACAGGTTAATTCACTCAAAAGCAGATTTGTGGTTTAAATCAACTTAAGCAGGTGAAACATTTTGCATTTGCATATGGAAATGTTTTGAAGCCGGTTGTATGCTGAAAAAGAAATTCTGTCTGATGGATACTGAAACATGAGTGGTGACCAAATCAACAGCTTCTAAGTCTGTGAACCTAGCAACATGAAACTGCCTGTGACTCCACAAAAGCCAAGAGGGTGTGTTGGCAGGATCCCATCTGTGGTGAAAACACTTCATTACATTCAGCCAAAGACACAACTTTTCCTATTTCTCATTTCATAAGTTTTTAACTTGTAAAAGAGACACCACAGCTATCATATACAAATCATGGCTAGTAAAGGATGCCTACATTGTATTCATACATTTAATAATCTTTCTGGCTGCAGGATAATACAAAAACTAACAAGACACTTTTCAATAAACTTGGTCAAGAGTTAGATGATGTGGGTCATGTCTCAGTTTTTGAAAGAGACAAACCTTGTTTAATAAACTCGAACTGCACCAGTATACTTTACACATCAGTAAACAGGTTATTGTCACATTCACTATCCAAATCAGAATCTCCACACAATGCAGCGACGCAGCATTCCTGAAAAGTATGTGTACAGCTAACAGTCACAAGCAAGACACAGAGATGGGTTTTAGATCTACACGAAAGATCAAGTTTATTTAAGAACCACCTGCATACAAAACATATTGCACATCAACCAACCAGACGATCCTTAAAAAAACAACAAAAAAAACTTTACTGTAGTTGACCCAACAAAAACACTTGGGATGTCACAACTCTCAGTAGTCCAAATTTGTCCCAAAAGAAAACCTCTAAGCATCGCATGTTAGTGTCAAGAAAACAGAAGAGATTGTTTTTGTTTGTTTTTTTAAATACTGTACATTTTCTTAAAAATAAATAAACCAAATATATCTCCTTCCTTAGTGGAACAGTCATGACCAGTTTCCAGCCAGCCAGTGTGGAAGAACCATGAAAATGACATCGTCACCTGGGCAAGGTTTTCTGGAAACATCTCAACACCGCAGTGGTCGGTTTTTACAGGGCTCTGTTTTCCCCAACAGTGGGCAGATAAAAGTGGACAATACCCTAAACAAAACTCAAGTGACTTTATTGAATTCCTAGTGAGGGAAAAAAATTAATCAGCATCAAGCATTACTCGGGATGTACGTAATGAAACAATGTTTAGGAATGAGATGTTTCCAGGTGGCCGAGCACTGATGGTACATATCTGTCCAGCACTAAACGGTAACAAGCCAGTTTTCAGACTCAACTACAATCACGTTTTAAACAGAAGAAAGGTTATGTTTCAGTGCAAAGAAAACAACTCTTCTACAGTTTCTTTTCCAGACACGATGTAAAAGCATTTCTTCTGTGACCCAAGTGGTTGCATATTGGAAAAACAGGAAGCAGCTAATGTGAAATTCTTCAACAGATATATTTATTTATATATATATATTTATATATATATAAAGGATAACTGGATTCATCCCCACCCTCCCCACAACGAGAACAGACACTCCTGACTTTAAAAAGATGCCCCTAAAATCTTTTTGGGGTGTTTCAGTGGTTGCCTTCACCTCCCGCAGTACCATAAGAGAACATTTAGCACATGGAGACGCCGTGTCTGGTTCCGCTGTGGCAGATGAAGGCTAACACAGAAACAGGTGAAAGGATTTCAGATGGCATGCAGAGCCAGGCAACGACATGTTGAATCTACTCTCAAGGCACGACAGCTAATCACGTTTATGTCAAACATACTTGGGGTTTCCAACAAGCCAATCTGCACTGTGCTACTGCCCATGCAGATCAGTTAATTTACATCCTGAAATAAGTTTATGGAAGCATTTTTCTGGATCCAACTAGGAAAAGGCTTTTTAAAACCCTGCTGTGATGTTTCTACGAATAGAAAAAGGACTGCTGCATTCATACCACAGTATGGGTTTGACTGGAATCCCTGTCTGATTTAATAAACGCTGTACTCAGTGCAGCCTCTCCCAGAGCTCTCAGTGAAGACAGGACTGAAAAGCAGTTCATGTACACATCTGTAAGTTTATGTGTGTTTGACTATCTTTGGCAAGCTCATACAGGAAGAACTATTGTAAAAAAAAAAAAGAAAAAAAAGGAAAATGAATAGTTGGATAAAACAGGTGTAAAAAGGGAGGTTCAGGTTCTGACCTCTGAAACTTGCACAGCGGAACAGGTCACAAATATTTGGAAAATCTAAAATAAAAAAGAGAGAGAGAAAACAGTGCTTTAAATGTTATGGTTCACTTCTGAAGCTGCTCCAGTCATGGAGATTCAATCAAGTGCAGCTCTAGAAGTTCAAATATTTGAAACCATTTTCCTTGCCCTGACTAGGAGAGTCCATTAACAACAGCTTGTGGGTTAGATTCCTCCTTGTAGGAGACTTTAGTGGACTTCTCAGTGGAAGACCTGGGAGCTCTTGTGCCATTGTTGCCGTCGCCATCGGCTGCACCGTTAGAACCATTAGTGGTTGCCACGGCAGAGTTTGGGCTGTGTTCGGCGATGACATCCACCTGACCCTAAACAGAAAGGTGGGACAAACAGTGTGTGATGGGTGAGAGAGAATGACGAATGAATGACGAACACTAAATCACCAGTGACTGCCAGGCTTTTAAAGCAGCGAGAAGTGAGGATATTGTAAACTAGGTACTGACCACATCCTTGTTTTTCTGGGAGTCCTTCTCGATCATCTGTCTGCTCTGAGACTCAGCCCTGGATATGTAGTCAGCCACAGTAACTAAACAAATACAACAACAGAGAAAATAAACTATGAAAGCACATGAAGACTGACTCCTTCATACCAGAGCAGAGGCACAAATCTGTTTCAGATATTCCAAACTTCATCAGGATTGTATCGTCTTCACAGTTCTTGTAGATTAGTGAAACACACACAACAGCAGCATTTGCAGTGTGAAGTGAATTACTATTAAACCTGTGTACACAGTTAAAGAAAAAGTGCCCTTTCTCACAGTCTGAGAATAACCTTTTTACTAATTATGCATTTTAGATTCAAGATTACACCAAAATATGTTAGAACAATTTACAATGACACACCACACAAACAAGACTATTAATTGCTGTTAATGTCAGCATGACAAAGCAAAAGCAAGTTGTGACAAAGTTATTGGTAAAAAAAGGTTTTCTGCTAAAAAGAGATGCATACTTATATTTCTACGTACCAAACCTTGTTAGAAAATGCTATATTACAGTATTGATCAGCCATATTGAATCAAATAGCAAAAGCCAAGAACACGACTGCTCAGTTTTCCATAGTTTGTGTTTAGCATGGTGTTGGTGGAACACAAACAAACACAAGGTTTTTTTAGTCAAGTCATTCAGAGTGCTCACTGGAGGAGGGCACACTAGGTGATCCAGTTGCCTGGTTACCTGGCTGCCTCTCTTCAGGCAGACGGTTTCTGCGACGTCGGCTACGATTACGACGTTGAGGTTTAGCTTCCTGGTCATCTAAAGGTGTCAGGTCATCACAAACAGAGGGATTGGGGTGGAGGGACTTACATCGCGATCTACAATTGTCATCTACTTTGAGCTGCACTGACGCCCTTTATGTTTCAAAATAGAAATGATGCACTGCTGCACAGTCCTGACAGCTCAGAACAGCAGTCGGTATAACCTGAATACACTGTGTGAGACGACAACAACAACAACAACAACAAACATCTAGTAACGTTCATACCTGTTCCATTTTCACTCATAGAGGCGTTGTCTGACTCGCTCATGCCATCAATCAGAGTGGTATCCTCGTCTGTTCTGCGTCGCCGAGATCTTCTGCGGCGGTTAGCAGGCAAGTTGGAGTCGCTAGCATCTGTATCAGCTGTCTGATCGGTCTCTGTGTTTACCTCCAAGGCTCCATAGTGATGGTTATCCTCATGGTCTCGAGGCCCTGCTGCACATACAGGATCAGATTAATAGGCAAAAACTTTCAAACAGAACTTTAACAGAAGAAAATGATAACTTAGAGTGTCAATATATCTGTGAAGGTTCCCAATCATCCAGGTCGTAGTCTAAGGAACTTGGAAAGAAAAGCTTCTGGCCTTCTTTAAGTTTCCTGAAAGACGTTTCAAGGAAACTTAAAGCTTCAGTCCAGAACTGAAGAAGCTTCTTGGATGAAACGTCTTCAAGGAAACTTAAACAAGTCCAGACGCTTTTCTTTCCAAGCTCCCTAGACAAATTAGAGTGTCCCTACTTTCCTTGAATTATCAATTTTACCAGAGCTGTTGCTGTAACTTCCTCTTCCTCCACGTCCCCTTCCCCTTCCTCGGCCGGGTCCTGGCCTTCTGCGGCCATCTCTCTGTGGGCGTGGGCCTCTCTCCCGCTCCCTGCAAGTCCACCAAACCAAATGAAATTGATTACACAGAACAGCAACCAGCAGTTTAGTCAAAAACTGGTGAGATAATGCAATATATGGATCACAGTAACCTCACCTTTCATGATCTTCTCCAGCCAGAGACCAGTCACTCAGCTCATCTTTGCGCTCAGAATCTGTCTCAGAGGCGTTGGACTGCTCTGAGGTGTTGCCTGAGTGTAACCAAACACGTGTGAGAAGACAAAAAAAAAGAAAGAAAGAAAGAATAACCCACATAAAAAGGATAGAACAAAGAGGGAGAAAGAAGGAGATAGTTATACACCTTGTTACAGGTGCGAACAATCCAAACATTTGACCTCCTGCATAATTTTACTGTATATGTGATTTTTTTGCACATATAGCGTTTGATTTTTAGAGATGCCTACCATATCCAGTGCTGTAGTTGTGGCCCCTGCGTCCACGCCCTCGGCTGTTGTAAGAGCGACTGCCATGCACGGACGTAGAGGAGGCATTGGCATTGTTTTCTGTATTATACCCGCCTCCTCTCTCCCCCCTCTCTCCCCTGTCCCTGTCAACTGGTCGGTGGCCCTGGGTAACCTGACGCAACTGTTCGTCAATCTGCATCCGTTCCAGACGAAGCTGCTCCACCTCCTAGAGCAAAGGAAGACGATAAATAACACAAAAAAAGCAGTATGTTCTAAACTAAATAAATAAAAAATGCAAATCTGAGAGCTTTGTTTTAAAATAGTCATCACGGCACACACATGCATAATGACCATACACACATCTACATCACATCCAATTCGCCTTGTGTTGTTTATTCTTAATCTTGCTAGGCTGCCTCCCTGTGTATAATCCACAATCTGCCTCAGCTCTTCCGCTAGCTGTGCGCCCTCTGCAAGTAGCTCCACCATGTCCTACACACAAACGGTGCAAAACAAAGCACACACGAAGCACCAACGCAGCACAAAACATGCAAACAGCACAGGACCCACACATACACATGGCGTAAAATGGATACACAGCAAAATACAGAGCAAATTTCACATATCTATGAATCCTGCACTACGTTTTTATATAAGATTACTTGCTAAAGACTGAATTGGTGGTAAATTAAAATCCAGCTCATCAATACGGAAACGAAGGCTTCATTGTAACTAAAGTAACGGCCTCCAATATGAAATATTTTGACAATATTGTAATATAATCATTTCAATATTATTTCTATTTACTGCATACAAACATATTTTCCATCCTTCTGCACTTAATATTCAAATCAAATTAAATATAAGAAATTATAATAACACATCTGAGAACACTATCTGCAAAGCACATACAAAAAGCAATCCTGCTTGAGCAATGTTTATTGTGTGCTGTTTCCATGCTAAAAGCCGGCAGTGTCATTAGTCTTGTGCCAGAGTGGACATTAAAAGCAGCTTGACATAGCTGGGAATTCACATTGCAGCATTTGAAAAAGGTTAGCAAACGCAACACGCAGACACACACACAAAGGTGCTCGTACATTTAGGTAAGAGATGTGGTACTCCAACAAGACCTGAACGTTGCCAATGCTCTCCTTAGTGCCGACAAATGTGAATGGGACCATTCCCTGTGTCAACAAAACAAAAAAACACAACACAGATGTTAATATGGGACTGTCCAACTAAATGACACTGTTTGTACGCTCTGTACTCCTATAGACTTTTAAACATCTGTCATAGTGATCAGTGCTTTATCAGTTGGGGGTAAACACATCGCAGTAGCAGGCTTACTTCTTGTCTGGGCTGCTTGGTATCGTTGTCTCCTTCTATCCTGACACGCACCACACCGGACTTGTCCACTATCTCCTGGATGACCTTACCATTTTTACCAATCACTTTGCCTAAAGACAAAGAAAAGAGAAAAGGATCAAAAGGTAGGATGTCGCAGCTTAGGTCAAAAAGATGAGACACTAGTAAACTGAGGATATATAAGCACAGTACAGAGAGTGCAGAATTATTAGGGAAGTTGTATTTTTGAGGAATAATGTTATTATTGAACAACAACCATGTTCTAAATGAACCCAAAAAACTCATTAATATCAAAGCTGAATGTTTTTGGAAGTAGTTTTTAGTTTGTTTTTAGTTTTAGCTATTTTAGGGGGATATCTGTGTGTGCAGGTGACTATTACTGTGCATAATTATTAGGCAACTTAACAAAAAACAAATATATACCCATTTCAATTATTTATTTTTACCAGTGAAACCAATATAACATCTCCACATTCACAAATATACATTTCTGACATTCAAAAACAAATCAGCGACCAATATAGCCACCTTTCTTTGCAAGGACACTCAAAAGCCTGCCATCCATGGATTCTGTCAGTGTTTTGATCTGTTCACCATCAACATTGCCTGCAGCAGCAACCACAGCCTCCCAGACACTGTTCAGAGAGGTGTACTGTTTTCCCTCCTTGTAAATCTCACATTTGATGATGGACCACAGGTTCTCAATGGGGTTCAGATCAGGTGAACAAGGAGGCCATGTCATTAGTTTTTCTTCTTTTATACCCTTTCTTGCCAGCCACGCTGTGGAGTACTTGGACGCGTGTGATGGAGCATTGTCCTGCATGAAAATCTTGTTTTTCTTGAAGGATGCAGACTTCTTCCTGTACCACTGCTTGAAGAAGGTGTCTTCCAGAAACTGGCAGTAGGACTGGGAGTTGAGCTTGACTCCATCCTCAACCCGAAAAGGCCCCACAAGCTCATCTTTGATGATACCAGCCCAAACCAGTACTCCACCTCCACCTTGCTGGCGTCTGAGTCGGACTGAACCTCTCTGCCCTTTACCAATCCAGCCACGGGCCCATCCATCTGGCCCATCAAGACTCACTCTCATTTCATCAGTCCATAAAACCTTAGAAAAACCAGTCTTGAGATATTTCTTGGCCCAGTCTTGACGTTTCAGCTTGTGTGTCTTGTTCAGTGGTGGTCGTCTTTCAGCCTTTCTTACCTCTGCCATGTCTCTGAGTATTGCACACCTTGTGCTTTTGGGCACTCCAGTGATGTTGCAGCTCTGAAATATGGCCAAACTGGTGGCAAGTGGCATCTTGGCAGCTGCACGCTTGACTTTTCTCAGTTCATGGGCAGTTATTTTGCGCCTTGGTTTTTCCACACGCTTCTTGCGACCCTGTTGACTATTTTGAATGAAACGCTTGATTGTTCGATGATCACGCTTCAGAAGCTTTGCAATTTTGAGACTGCTGCATCCCTCTGCAAGATATCTCACTATTTTTGACTTTTCTGAGCCTGTCAAGTCCTTCTTTTGACCCATTTTGCCAAAGGAAAGGACGTTGCCTAATAATTATGCACACCTGATATATGGTGTTGATGTCATTAGACCACACCCCTTCTCATTACAGAGATGCACATCACCTAATATGCTTAATTGGTAGTAGGCTTTCGAGCCTATACAGCTTGGAGTAAGACAACATGCATGAAGCGGATGATGTGGACAAAATACTCATTTGCCTAATAATTCTGCACTCCCTGTAGATGAAAGTTTTTGTTTAAATGTTGCTGAGAAGTTGAGCAAATAATGTACTGAATGAATGAATGACTTGTTACTAATTACTCATTGCTGTTACTAAATACCAACTTCTTTATCCCCTTCTTAAAATAGTTGAATCTACTTACCAACAAGGTTTCTTGGCACCTGGACCGAATCCTCTACAAATTCCAAGAAGCTTCTGGCTTTCTTTACTGCCTCTGCTGTCTAAAGGAAGACACAGGGTCGCTTACATATATTACACACTCAGCTAAAACATATACACAACCCAGTTACCACTGTACAACATGTACAGTATATACACAAAGAGCACGTCTAAAGAGTCCCACGCTATTTCTCTTATAAATAACATTCTCCATGTGAGACCATTAAAAAAAAGAGACTTAGCAAATCCAATTTCATGTCAGCATTTTCATATTACTTCACACATAACCTGCCATACAGGAATAATTATGGATTCTTTAAATGGTGTTCATTTCTTTGTAGGAATCTCGTCAACTAAAAGCAACAATTTCATAAGAAAGATATGTTATTACTTCTTTCTTGTTCACCATTAGAGAAAGCATCTATACTGTTTACCAGTTTAAGTGCACATGTTAAACACCATGTCACCCTCGTCATCACTTCTTTCTCACATCCTCACTGGCAGGAGCTAAGACGTGAGTGACAACCATGTTGTTGTATAGAATAATAAAGCCCTGCTGATAATTCAATATATACTGAAAGACAATTTAGCCAATTTAAGCTCGATAAAATACTAAATATTTACTGATTTTGTTGTGGAAATTACTTTTACTTTGCTTTTATATACAGAGGGTAAAGTATGTATTGAACAGGTCACCAATTCTCTAAGCAAGTATGTTTCTAAAGGTGCTTTTGACATGAAATTGTCACCAGACATTGGTAACAACCCATGAAAAATGTGAAAAAGGGCATGGTAACTATCAGTAACTAGAAAGCAATCCTCCCACTTAGTGCAAATTCATTATCAGCTGATTCAGTCCCAAATGATGGCCTATAAAAAGCTGTCCCATTACCAAGATGTCTCACAAGAAACACACAAGACGGGTAAAACCAATGAGCTCTCGCAAGACCTTCACAACCTTATTGCTGCAAATTTTTCAACATAAAACGACCTCCCTATAAGATTTCAGACAGCAGAGTGAAAAGAATTATTAGAAGAGTTGTTCAAGAGCCCAGCAACAGAAAGACCTGGAATCAGCAGGTACAATTGTTTTAGTACAATTGTACTCACCACGCACGACTCCATTGCTGAAGAAAAAGCATGTTGAAGCATGTTTAACAACAACATTTAGACAAGCCTGTGAAATACCCAGAGGAAACAGTCTGGTCAGAAACCAAAATGAACCCTTTGGATGCCATAAGGCACTGCACTGCATCACCCCACAAACACCATACCAATGGTGATGTTTGTAGCTGGGAACATCATGGTGTGGGGCTGTTTTTCAGAATACAGCACTGGCACGCTTCATATTATTAAAGTAAGGATGAACGTGGAAAATGTGCCATGACATTCTTGATAAAAATCGGCTGCCGTTCACCAGGATGATGAAGATAAAATGAGGATGAATGTTTCAGCAAGACAGTGATCAAAAACATACAGCCAAGTGAACTCTCAACTGGTTTCAGAGGAAGAAAAAGCTGCTAGAATGGCCCAGCCAATCACCTGACCTGTCTCCTTTATAAAATTTTCAGAGAAAGAACTAAAACTCTTCATAGAAGAACCCTTTAGGATTTAAAGACTATTTATGTGGAAGAATCACATAATTCCCACATTACAACTACTTTTCCATACAGGAGGCGCCTTGAAGCTCTCGTCACCAACAAAGGCTTTTGTACAAAGTACTGAATGAACTTCAGCAACTGAGACATTTCTCATTATTACACATAATTTATGGACATCTATGGTTTGATTTCTTTGCATGTATGGATTGGCCGACATCTGGTGAGAATTTTATGTCAATAGCATCTTTAAAAAGTGACTTAGATCATTTGTGACATGTTAAATAGTTATTTTACCCGGTGTACAATCCAGTAACCCTACTACCTCCTGTATTACCAACCTACCTCCCCATAAATCCTGAAATTGCCTGACTCCTCATCCAGCTCAATGGCAGTTACACCTGGAACCTTCCGGGCTTGCTGGATGTTGCTACCATGGCTGCCAATGGCCAGGCCCATTAGATCCAGTCTCACTGTAAACTCTTCCTGGAAGGAAGACACCAAGTGCCTGGAGTTCTACGAAAAACACAAGACATAGTCAAAACCAATGAACTCAGTCAGCTCTGCCTGAAGCTTTCATCCTGTACAAAAACTGAACAATAACAAATTTAAGTGTACTGTTAATTTAAACTCAAAAACTAAATGCTCGACCTTACAGAGCTTAAGATTATTGAAATATCTTTGGTAATATGGTTGTGTCCAAGGATGCTGAGCTCATGGACTGACAATGATCAGAGGAACTGCTAGTGGCTTGCCAATCAAGGCATTTTTTTGTCTTGTTTTTCCATGCATTACATTACACTTATCAGATTCATGAGTCATTAACTTTATCAGCTTCACTATATCTTCATTTCAGTATTTCTACATATTACTGACACTTGTGACACAGATGCAACTTCAAACTCTGTAAGGAACGGCTACACTGATCCACCATCACAAAACTAGAGGTCAAAGAAGAAGAGGATTCCTGTCTGTAGATGTGACTTTAAAGTATTTGGAAAGATGCTACTTTGTCTTCTTTCCTTAACTTCTTTAAATTAAAAGATTAATATGTATGAGGAGCACATGATGCAGGGCTGAGCAGAGACAGGTGAGCTACTTCAAAAAGAAAATGAAATTAAAAAAACAACAATCAAAACAGACTGAACAAGTTTGTTGAAAAAAAAGTTTAGTTAAAGAAAAAAGTCTGTCAAATGTTATAACTTTATACAGTTTTTGCTGTTCAGCTATCACCCGCCTACTTACAGTCACCCAATGATAGGCTAAACCATCCATCACTGTATATCAGGGGTGGGGAACTCCAGGCCTGAAATGTCGGTGTCTTGCAGATGTTAGATATCACCCTGGGTCAGCACACATTGAATCAGATGATTACTTAATTACCAGCCTCTGGAGAACTTCACGGCATGTTGAGAGGGTAATTTAGCCATTTAAATCAGCTGTGTTGGATCAAGGACCCGCAGGACACCAGCCCTTGAGGTCTGGAGTTCCCCCATCCCTGCTGTATATGAAGGCCACCCTGCTGGAACAGCACACGTTAGTTCCTTTTGAACTGGAAGTAGAAAATAAACTTGCCAGTTACTTACCTACTTCTTTCTTTCTTTTTTTCTCTTATTTTTAAGTTTCAGCCACACAGCTTGCATTAAGTGCACCGCACTATGTTAACCCCACTCTCCCACTTCAATTATTGTATTATATTATGGTATTATACAACAATCAGTCTGGAGATCACTGCCCAATACTAAATGGCACAATAAAAAGCTATAAGCAAAACGACAATTGCTCAACTAAAAAGTATAATTTGGCTATTGTTTTAGCTTACTTTAAGCAGTAGGATTGTATTTTACCATTTACCATAATAAATGGCCTGAACTACCAACTGAGATTGTTCCAAGGCAACTACAGTGCATACAGTAACCCCAGAACATCTCAGTAACAGGTCTTTTTCTTGCCATCACCCTACCTCAAGGTGTTTTGTGGCTTCCTGGTTGCGTGACATTAGAAGTAGCTTGGTCCTGAGGCTGCGCAGGTGCATGTCACTCAGCAAAGACACACGCTTCACTGTCGTCTCGTTGGTGGACTAAAACACACACACACAGGAAATAAAAAGACTTATGCAAATATGTGGGGATACTCCTCTGCTCATAATCACTAAAAGAAATGAACAGCTGAGTCATGTATTAGACAAACATGCAGGGCAGGATAAAGGTGTAGCACATCGTGCATTAGCCTTGGTGCTACTGTACATTTCCACATGTCACCACAGAATCACAGAAAGCCAGTTACCACAATCACTAGTTGGCTGGTCTCAGGGCAGTATGAGATGTGAGAGGCTCCCACGGCTTTCTTGAAGTCTTTATGAGCATTTTCATTCTGGCACCTGTCCACAAAAAACAAAAAACATATTACCTTCCAATCCTTAAACAAACAGTTCACATCTACTGAAAAAACGAGACAGACCATATATAACAGGTACAATAAAGGCTCTACTGCATATACACACTCTCACTGCTAATGAACTAAACAAGCCTGTGAATTTAGTTAAAATCTGTCTGTCTCTAATTTTGTTGCTGTAAAGGTGCTGTACATACGCTTCTTGTAGATCCTGAGGAACCGGGACAAAGCACTTGTGAAAGGAGTTCTTGGTGATGGCCTTGTTGGTGTTGACCGGACGCAGACGTTCAAAGGTCACTATTTCGTTGTAAGTCGCGTCACAGGCTGCATACTCAATCACATAGAACTGGAAATATGGAAAGGTTCAACAAAAAAAATGAATAAGTAGAATACTCTTCATAGTGCCTATAGTCACATGTACAAAAAAGGTTTTACTCACATCTCCCTTCATCATGCGGACTTTAGCCAACCACCAACCACACGGCTCAAGTTCAGTGGCTCTAGAAAAGATCTGCCAGGAGACGAAAACATAAGCAGGATAAGGCACATATAGAAAGAAGCAGGTGAGGACAAGAGGAAAAGAAAAAAGGAGAGAACTTATATCTGTGTCCTTACCTCCACCTCGTCACCCTCTCCAATCTCCTTCTTGACATCAGCAGGTGGGGGCATCCTGACATCACTGAAGGGCACTTGGCGTTCTGGCTGCCAACTGAGAAAAAAAAGACCCCATTTTTTTCTTTTACCTAAAACATGGTGGTTCTGGATCTATGATAAAATATTAAATTTACATGTTTTATGAAAACTGGTCAAATGCAGAAGAAGTAAAGACTCACTTGTTCTCAAAGGCAATAGTGAGAGAGTCATCGTGGATATCTTTGACAAAGCCCTGCAGGAGGGACAGAAACACAGATCAGCGGTTAAATATAGTTCCTGCTTTAAAAGAAGAGTTTTTTATGTCTAGCAGAAAAAGTGACATTTTGGGTATGGGAACCCATTTTTTTTATTTTGTGCATGCACACAAAGTATATACGCATTGTTGACAAGATGCACACTCCTGCTGATTGTTTGCCACTATCTCATCTGTATACAACTCACAGTAACATGCTAAGATATGCAAAGCACTAGCAAACAATTCTGAAGAAAAGTGCTAGGATGTATACAAGGATGTGCACAATAATGAATTTAAAATACTTAAAAACCCTGCATGAAAAGAAGCAAATTGAACATGTTTGTTAAAACACTAGGATACAGTGTGACAGCACAAAGTGTAAAACTGAATGTGAACATAACTACGTTTCCCACAGATTTAGATTCAATTTGTTGCAGGAGGTGGGCATGTGCACGCAGATAAGTGATCTTGAGCTTTTGTGTATAGAAGGCACACACTGGCTTTCTTAAAAGAACTATTACATAATGTGTTTATATTATCTGATTTTTAAATACTTTTCTCCCCTGCAAATAATTTAATAACCAAGTAGCATAGCCTCCCACAGCTTCACTCCAACTTTCAGGATGTTGGATGTCAATTAGCAGCTGACTGATACTGATGACTGCCACAACACTCAGCAGCAGAGGTCTTAAAACTGGACTAGTAAAATCTGAAAGCCATAAACAAAGACTTCTTTCAGCTGGTCCCTTCAGGGGTTGCCACAGCAGACCATCTGCTTCCATGTCACCCTATCCCTAGCATTCTTCTTTGTCACACCAACAGTCTGCATGTCCTCCATCATTACATCCATAAACCATCTGTGATGTCCTCCTCATTTCTTCCTGCCTGGCAGCTCCATCTTCAACATCCTTTTCATCCATCTCAGCCTTGCATCTCTAACTTTGTCTCCAATATGCTCAACCTGAGCTGTTGCTCTGATGTACTCATTTCTAATCTTGTTCTTACATTACATTTTCTAACTTAATCTAAACATCTTCACTTCTGCCACCTCCAGCTCGGCCTCCTGTCTTTGAATCAAAGCCAAACTTGCAGGCAGTGAAACCAGCAACTTTCCAGAAAACGTACCAGAAAACAAACAAAAGAACAACAAAAACAAAGGACAATGGCAGTGGCAGTGAACTGAAGAAAAGTATTTTAGTGAGACACTGACAGCTTCATGAGCTTCTTCAGGTAATTCGGCAGTTAGATCAATTACTATCAGAGAAAGAGAGCTTTGTTGTCACTGTCTTAGTTTATGTTTTAACATGTTTAACACTGCATTTATTAGCATATTAGAATATTATCTGCAGTAAACAATCATACTTTCTTACACTATGTGAGATAGCATGTTTGAAACCTTAGCACGTAACCAAAACCGATAATAGTCTAGCACTACTATTTAATACTGTGGTATGCTAATACTGTGACAGTGACATCAGCACCACTGATGGTAACAGATAGTGACCAACACAAGATAGTTTAGTGTGTAAAATATCTAAATAAATAAAAAACAAAATGATATATTTGATAAGTATGGACTTGTTTTGCAAGTTTAAGTTTGAACTGCTTTCCAGCATTTGACAACATTCCTATCACAGGGTGGAAGCTGCAAAATTACTTTTATATATCCTTTATTTATCCAGAAAGTGATATTGACATTACAAAAGCCTTTTTCAAGACAGATCTGGCCAAGAGGGCAGTGGAAAACGCAACAAATATATCATCACAGTTCTTTCATACACAGGCACAATAACAGAGAGACATAAAAACACTGTAAAACTAGTCATTTCCTTACTTAACGTATAACTCCTACATAAATCCTAATGACTACAGTCTATTTAACAACATAAGTAAAGATATCATTAAAAAAAGCCCCAACAAAAAGAAAACACACACGCACACACAGAAACATCAGAAATCAGTTTTGGTAGTGGATCATTTTTTGGCACAACGCCTGTGCTAGAGTCAAACGTGAGGTACCCAACACTACACACCAGACTTGGAAGTACTGAACCCCAGGTTCAATGCGTTCAGACACTTATTTAAGCCATGTGTCTCGCTTGCGTGAAGGACGGTGTTGATTACATTCAAAGAAAGCACACACACGTATGTCTAAAGAGTTTAAGACACAGGGGTGGCAGAGTGGACAGAATCGCCCAGGGAAAAAAAGGGGTGTGTTAAATAAGGAAAAGCAATGAGAACAGTGTGAAAATGCAGTAGTACAAAAGAAGTCATGGGATGTGAAGGTGAGACAAGAAAGAAAAACTTGAAAGTCTGGAGAAAAATGAGAAGAGAGAGGAGACACGGGGAGAAGAGGCGAGGGTGTTGCTGTGGGCAGCACGTCTAGAAATAGCTTTAAAGTCGATGGTATCAGTGACCCACTCGACATGCCAGCTGGTCGGGATTGACAAGGAACAGCTGGCTCACACATACCGAAAAAATAGCTTCGGAATGATGGAGTATCAAATAATAGACAGCGACAGTCAGTCGTGAAGTCTGTGCAGAGAGACTTCAAAATCTCTCACACCACCAACCATGGTGCCTTCACAACACGACACACTTTAGTAAACTGCGTCAAGGTATAATGGGCTGGTCCTCCGTGTTTCTGATATCAGCTCAATAGCCAATGATGACACATGCAGATACTATTTACTTCAGCAACATCTTTCGACGTCAACAGCTAGGCAACTATCAAGTTAGCTAACTTTCAGCTCGAGAAAGCGGCACAAGAAGTCAAATAAAATTAATAACACCTGCTCTGTGTTACGTATTCAAGTTATCGCATGCAAGACTGCGGTTCTTCCAAACTGGCTTTGAAGAAAGGTCCTCAAAAGTGTCAGCTGGCGAGGACATGGGAGTGACGCTAGCTTAGCTTGCTAATTATGGCTAGCATTGCTAGTACAAGCTAATATCGAACTCTCGGGTACGTACAGAGGAAGTCGGATCATGTTGCCACAATCCACGAGACTTAAACTAGAATACTGTACCGTATGAACAACTTTTATGTTTGAAACTGCATTGATAAGCCGGTATTTACCTTGTAATAAGCCCCGTTGGAGCCACGGACCTCCACCACCAGTTCTTCCATATTGGAAACGCAAAGGATGTTGGGACGACAGGTGCTCCTTCAAGCGTCAGGACTTGACATCTTAGCACCAGTAAAATGTATAACAACAAGTACATGTAAAATTTGCACATTTAAAACTGAATTAAAATGAAAATATAACTTGTTATTCTAATGTAGCTTACCTGACAAACCAAAAGTGAAACTACAAAAGATGAATGCCCTTTTATTTATGTTTTGTAGTTTTAGTCCCGTTTTATTGTGCTGTTGTAATGACCATTAGAAGACACCTACTAAATCACTTTCAGTACATGTTATTCCATTCTTTGCAATAACACAGACAACCAAACTGACCTAGTCAAGATAGCTGATTCAGATGCAATACTTGTAGTAAAAAGTAAATCCCCATTTCAGTTTCCGGAGCAGTGTTTCCTAGCAGAACTACGGTGGAAGGATTGTAACACAAAAAGTTTGGTCTGATTATGTGATATTTAGGAGCAATATTTACTCTGCAAATGTAGTGAAGGACCGAAACCCCCCCAAAAAACCACAAACTTAAAGACAGTCAATTTCTGATGGAATTCAATTAAGGTTCATTTTATTTACATACTGCCAAATCATAGCAAATGTTACCTCACGGCTCTTCATCCTGCAAGGTAAAGAGCTTAAAGCATTAGAATGAAAAGCCCAACAATCAAACGTACCCCTATGAGCAGGCACTAGGTGAGGGTGGAACAGAAAAACACCATTTTAACAGGAAGTACCCACCTTAAGGAGGGGCAACTATCTGCTGCTACTTCAGAATTACTTTCCTGGACTCTACTGTCAACAGTTCTAAATTTGTATGAAATTGTAAAAAAAAAAAAAAAAGAAAAAGAAAAAAAAGTGCACTATCAGAATATAAATGTAGGTCTCTTTTATTGGGATACAGCTGGAAACGCTGCTCTAATAGTAAACGTCATCAGTAATGAGAGTTGTAGAAAAAGGGTCAAATGCTTTGTTCACCTGTAGTTAGACTATGATAAAAAAAAAAAAAGACATTTGCTGTGCATATCTCTGTGGTGCGAGATTCAAACTTAAGAGATACATGCTCCAGTTTTTTAATTTCCAGTGTTTAAACCCATTTTAAAAATCCAGCTTTACCTGCCTATGAAACTACATCTTCTCAGGTATAAGAAAATGTAGCAGTGTACTGAGCAGCAGGGAAAAATTAAACAGTATGATGAATAGCTCTGAAAAGGCAAACTTGTGGTGCCTTGGAAGAAGGGGAAAAAGAAGAATACAGGGACCTCACCTCATTTTTGCAAAGAGTTCTGACTGTTCGCCTCTTTTTTTACAGGTGGGGATTTGTTCCAGTGATTCCCTTTTCAATCCCTGCATTGCCATTGTACGCACAAGTCACTTCAAAGTCATACAGAGTGATGACATTTGTCCTACAGTGAAGCATTTATGGTCCTGATGAAAGTTCATTCTTCCAGAATGATGACAGTAGTTGCTAAAATAATTGGTGCGCTTCCAAAAAAAAAAAAAAAAAAAGACCCCAAATAGATATTCTAGCCACCGGGCACATGCACAGGTTGGTAATGTTAATTATAATATTACTAAAATATTTTGGAAAACACAACAGATGGAGTTTGTTTTGCATAGTGTTCCAGAAATCTGTGGTTCAATGCCTTACTGACAAACTTATTTTCAGTGTTTCTGTTATCAGCCAACTGACATACATTGGTGTGTAGTACAACATAATGAGTAATCAGCAAACTGCTGTATTAACAGCAAAAGCTACAGTTCTCTAAAATTCAGAGTTTCTGTATTTTTATCATTTTGTTGTGCTAAAAAGATATGGGAAGAAGAGAACTAGCACATCTCTCCCCTAGTGTGCATTCTGAGGAGTAATGCAGTATTCATTATTCTTTTTTCGATGCAATGGCCTATTTCCTTGTGTTCACATTAGTAAGTTTGGCTCATTTGTATAATGATTTATCACAGGTAGCCAAGTTCACATTACCTTTTAAGAGATCTTCATTTCTCCTGCACAGAGAAAAGTGTATAAAAACCGTGTAATACAAAACAGCTGACCAAAAAATGTTCAAAATTGTCAAAATATCTCAAGTACTGAGAATACCTTCACATCCAGTGCAGGTGACATTTGCTTCCAGCTAATGGTGCTTGAATCCAATATTATTTTATCCCCGTTTTCACAGGAAAAATACGCCTAATTTGAGTGTATCTTTTGATCATTTATTTATCTAGGTATAGTTTTCTAAAAGCTTCCTGGCAGGGTTACTCTGTAGATTTGGTAGAGGAACATGTAGCACATAAGACTCTACACTGAATGTGGCAGACAGACAAACAGAGAGCAGGTGCTGGCTCATCTTTTACAAACAGCCACTGTGACACCTAGTGGCGATTAGTTATTCTCTTGAGGTCTGCTATCACTGTGCAGCAGATGCTGTATTATTTCTGATCAGACCATCAGACTGCACCAGAGATAAACTATAAATCATCCTCAGCAATATAACATCAGTGTGTACACAGTGTGCACTGATATTTGCAAGCTAGTATTTTTGTTCATCGATACACGTCAAGTTGGATGGAGAACAGATTCATTTTGTGTCAGTTTGGAAATGTCACTTGGACATTTGTTTAGTTATTAAAAAACCCCAAAAGGATCACTTGCAACAAATTGGTGGTCATATCTGTTTGCACGGTTGCAAATAAAGAGGAAAGCCCCAACATCAAAATTCAACTAAAATACCTGGAAAGATTTTTTTACTCCCAGATGAACAGAATTTCAGTAACAATTCACAGAATGACACATATGACAATGATCTTTATTTTTTAAGAAGAACAAACTGAAACACATAGAAAGTGAACATTTGTCTTCATTGTGTGTAACTGTGTGTGAATTATGTAAAGATATACTGACTGTAGACACAGAAATGTACTCGGAACCATGTAAGTGTTGCTTAACACTTCAACAGGTGCTGACAATGTATATTTTTTAAATCTTAAGGTTAAGTTCAATATTAAAATCACAGTATTTATTTATCAGATAGCAATTATTTCATCATATAATTAAATACCAAAGATTTATTTGAAATGGTCTTTTTTCCAAAATGACCTTTCAAAGGGCTATGTCAACACATGCCTGAAAAACAAAAACAAAACAAAAATAATATAATTGAATTAATTATGACATTTATTTCTTCAAAACGTCCACCGTGTCCAAATACATTTCAATAAAGAATAATGTGAAGTCGTAAAAAAAAAAAAATACAGTATATGGATTTACCCAGTGGTTTTACGTATAATGTGTTATGTGGAACATAATAATCACAGGCTGAATTTAAATCAATATACCCCATAAGGATTTATAATAATCTGTTTTTTTCTTAATTGCAGTTTTATGTTTCGTTCTAGTGAGCTTTGATCCAAGGATAAATTCTTTCAGAATAAGACAGTACACTTTGCTATTAGGTGAAATGACTAATGATGTACACTGTTTAGCTTTAAATGCATGTATAAAAAATTTTTTTAAACCAGGTGCATGAATCTAAATACAAATTATATATTTATTTCTTTTTCTTACATAGCAAAAAAAAAGGTACATCTTTCAGGATGTGCTGAGGTATCTTTCGACGTGTTCTGTCGCTGTGATGAGGCGGAGATGAAAACGCCGTGTTCCTGTAGTATTCGCACTGTGTGTAATTCAGCTCGCGCGCAGCTCTGTGGTGAAAATATTCTGTTTGGTCTGAAGACATTACCACAGACCCTCACAGTCTGCCTGATAGTCTGTCCTCACGTTCTGATTTAAACCAGTTTACCAATTCCATTATGCTAAGCCCGAACACTGGTTGGGAAATGATGAACGATTATGTGAAACACATAATCTCCCTGCTGCACCATCATTGCAATATGACAGCCAAATTTCATTCATCCTATCCAATTTCTTCCTTATTTAAGGAAAGAAAATTACTGGTCCCAGTAATCAGATATGTAGTGAGGCTGTGTGCAGGAGTTAAGCCCACTCCCATTAGGCTTTCTGCCTTCTAGCTCTGGCTGTAGTCAAATACACGAACACACAGACACACACACACACACATACAAAAAGACAGATACACATGTTCCACATGTCTGACCCTCCTCAGTTCTCACATCCCTTTTTCACCCATTTCAAGGACTATTATTTGGCCTTGATATATTCTCTACAACATCATCCGTTAGCGATGCCAGTTTGAAACACAGTGGCCCTTAAGTGGTTTAGAGAGCTGCAGACAGGCAGTTCTCTCACACACACACACACATGCACGCACACACACACACATCTCCTCCTCTCTTTTCTCTCTTCTGAAAGAGGCATGTACAAATGTTCATTTTCCAAACAACATCATCATTTTAGAAATTGGGCTAAATTAGATAAGAATGCAATTTTGTCTCTTTTGCCAATGATTATCCTTTGACAAAAATCTAATGTATTGACAAGATATTATTGGGGACCAATATTTGCTCCCTTCTGTCTATGTTTCTCTTTCTGTATCTGTGGAGCCAAATCACCAACGAGCTGCCACATTAAACACCGTGTCATTTATTGCTAATAGACTCTGGATATCATAAGCCCTCAGTGAGCGACAGTGTCATAAACAGAGGGACGAGTGTTGAGCCTATGGCTGTTTGTTCTCCTCCACACATGTCCAATTTCGCTTTCCAATTGGGAATGCATTATAGGTGTAATTGAAAATTAGCAGTACATCTTTTTTTTTCTTCTTTTTTTGAGGGGTAATTTATCAGGCCTCATTGTTCCTCTGTGACACCTCCAGGGCCTGTTTCTAACAAGGAGCCTGGAGCACCGGGAGGCTTTCTGCTTGCCCGGGCCCCACAGCGCTCTCTGTGCTTTGTCACTAATTGTGGCCTCCTCTCCACTGAATTGTGATTCGGCTAAAAGAGCTTGTTGGCTCGATGCAATGAAGCTGCCGGTGATGCTCTCACCATTATCAAAGATACTCTTGATCTTTTCAAAAGCAGGAAATAGATTTTTTTCACTCCCCCCCCCCCGTTCAATCACACAGAGGGTTGGAAGAGAAGGGGGGAGA